GTAGGAGCTTGTTCAGCTACAGTCTATTTCCATGAGGCTTATTGAGCGTCACTCAAATAAAGCTGCATTTGGTTGACCCTGTGGAGCATGCACAATTACCAGAACGTGGCAAGTTCACAGAGGGACCACATTTCAGCCCTGGTGCTTAGACCCCGGCCACTTACCATCTTCTCCATTAAGCCATTTATAGCATACATAAAAATCATAACTTTGCATCCAGGATCACAGAGATTGAAGATTACAATGGACCTTAGATACCATCTACCTATTCTTTCAGCCACCTTGCTGCCAGACTTCTTCATCATCATACAAAGAGTAAATAGATTAGAGCTGAAGATTTTTTCTCTTCTAGCAACTGGCAGAACTTAGACTAGGCTTCTATGTTTTTCAAAGCATAAGCCAAACACTCATTGAGTGATTCCAAAGTCCCTTTTTTACTGTTTCTACCCACAGACATTCTAGCCACTGGAACTGTTTTTCACAGTAGTATGTTTAGTCACTGTTTCTTTCTTCCCCTCGTAATCACCGGGATACAGGAAAAAAATATTAGGTTGAATATTATGAAATTGCTGATATTTGATCAATAGTCAATGATTTTTTTTAACCTAACAAAAGGCAATTTTATGTGGCTCAACTTATGCTATCCCCTGCTGCCACATCTGAATGCTCTTATTTGAAATCAAAACTAATATTGCTCCCTTTTTCTGTACACACACACACACACACACACACATACACACACACGTGTACACATAGAGTTGTTTGTAGGACATGTGGCTACTAAGAATACTATGGCCAAAACTTGTATTTACCAAGTACTGTGTAGAGTTTGTGCTGAATATTCTCTATTTGCCATGCAGATTCATTCTACACCCTTCTCCAGGGAGCCATCCTCTACAGACTGCATCCACAGAGTGTCCTTATCCCCTAGTATCTAGTGAGAGATTGAGCACAGGAGGAAATAATTTGGAAATATTTGTTCCCTGGCTCCTCCCTTCTGAATCCTGGCTTGAAAGTGGCTATGTTCCTCTACCTGTAGCCATGGTCTTTCTTAATGGCCTTTCCTATAACAGTGCCTTTGCCTGGTTCTGGAAACTTCTCCTCCCTGGGCTAAGTGTGGTAAAAGCTTCCCATTTTGTCAGCCCTGTGGAGCTTCTCTACTCCTTGTTGATTTTCCTGAACTATACCCATGTGCTTGTTAACAGTCCTTTCTTCAATAGTCTCTTGGTTAATAGTCTCTTCAGTTACTCCTTTTACTCTGCTGTCTTCTGGGGCCCTGACTGATAGAGTGATTTCCTGAATGTGACTTCAGTTTGTGCTTATATTAGTTTCTATTTGCTGTATGTGAAAGTTCTGAGTTTATATTTGCAGAGGTTTTATACCTGCAGGCTAAGTTCTAAGACTTATCAATGCCCTCAGGCAGGAGAAACGATTAATGCACTCATAAATGGTACTCATTTACACTTCTAATCTCAAAACTAATTGCTAATTATTAAGTAAGGCCTTTATCTTCACTGAGAATTTTAAAACAAGAAAATGCTGGCTAAATCTAGTTTTCTAATATGAAAATGCAAGATAATATTCAAACATCTATGAAATATAATTATACTTTTATTATTACCTCCCTATTCATTATTAGGTATAAGGCAAAACATTAAATCAAATGTAATATAAATTTGGCAGCTAATCTTTGCCAGTACAAGTGTTTTTTTCAGTGTTTAATATTTGACTATGTTGCATATACTCATATGCCACATACAAGGGAAAGAAGTAACCAAATAAAATGTTTTTAATGTATTGCAATGTGATTTTGTTCTTTAACCATTGATTTGCTTAACCCTCCAAAACAAGTTCATTGTTAGAACAAATATTTCAAATATTTCCTGAGCCCTTATTTTAGTGCTTATTTTAGTGTAGTATAGTGTTCAGTGATATAGGAAGTTCAGAAGATTCATGGGAATTACGTTCTGGATTTTAGAAGGCTTCCTGACAATGTCACAGGCCTTTAATTGTTGATTTACAAGACCCCAAATGAAGGTTCTGGTTTAATCATCATTTTCATAATACTTCTTCCCCATAAGCAGACAGTATCTAGCCAACCAGATATTAAAAGTTATTGAATAGCAGATTTCATGCATCCCTACAAATTGTTCACTTTTACTCTGGGTAAATTTTACTGATCACAAAGTTAGAGCCTTCAGTGCTCTTTAAAATAAGCTAAGAGTAGCCAGTAAATGAAAGTACGGCACTATTAACCATACGGTATTTCACATTGTAATCTATTATCCATTCAATCCTCATACTATGGGGCAGGAAAGCCCTAAAGATTCATGCTAGGTATTCCATATTGAGTTACTATAACATTTTTAACAATTATATGTTAACAAGTATAGGCTACTTGGAAGACTGTGTGTGTCATATAGCCTCATCACCCAAATCCCGTCCAAAAACAAAAGGTAGTTTGAGCACTGTTTGTAGGAGATTTCTAGGCTCTTTGACTGTGTTGGTTAGCCCATGGAGAAGGGAATTGGGATAATAAATGAATTAGACTGGACTGTTGAGACAGCCCTTGATGGCTGTGCCAGATGAAAGAAACAAGAAGCAGTGCTCCAGACATACCTTTATCTGTTAAATGGTAGCCTAGGACACTGAAATGTTTACACAATTATTTATAAAATTCCATAAAATGCATTTGCAGCTTTTAAAGATATGAATTTAGCTTATTTCTAAGTTGTGGCTATAATCAAGTCAGATGAGAATAGTTTTAGATGTCAGGCGACAGCTCATTATAGAGTTTTTTTTTGGTTGTTGTTTTTTCTTTTAGAATAACAAAAGGTAACTTCCAAGCTTGGAATAATATAATAGGAAGCCTAGAATGTATTGATATATGTATAAATATAAAAATAAAGGTAAAGTTATTTTGCTCAATATTCAGTTCCATTGTCTGATGACAGTTTCAGGGATTCATGTGGAAATTTGACATCTTCTTGGCAGTTCCTGTATTGGGCCCCTTCAGTTCCATGTATGGCTTCCCTTGAGCTAAACCAGAAAAATGTGACATAAAATTGTTTATTCTTTTGACATGTTTTTTTGACAACTTCCTCAAAACTACTGAGATACTACCTTGGCAAAACACTTAATATGTCTAGCTTCTTTAACATCAACTGTGCTTGGGCTTGAACTGTGTTGTGCTTTTTGGCAGCAAGGTAAAAGGGAAATCAAAGTAAATTATACTTTTCTCATACCATGCAAAAGAAGCTTCCAAATCAGCTCTTTGGAGAAGCAAAACTTTTCCTAGTAATAAACTCTGAAAACATAATTCTATTTAGTAAAATTTTAGTTAAGAACATGTATTTTCTTACCACAAATTTAAAGGATTACATAAACATTTAAACTTTTTAAAAGTTGTGATTTCCAAGAAAAGAAATTAACTTAATGGCTGTTCATTCATCATCTCCAAAACCAAAGCCGTTTGAATATTCCCTTTATTATGATGTATTAGAACTTCATTAAAAGGGAAAACTTACAAATAAGCTATCATTTTTAGAGCAAGATCACACTGTGCTAAATAATAAGATATGGGAATACATTGAACAGCTTGACTCCTGCTGACTTTTACTTAAAAGTATGAAGTGTTTTAAATTAGACTATGTTATATTGATGAAATGTGCACAAAGGGGAAAAATAATTTAAAGGCTTTGTTCCATTTTGAGAGCTAGATAAATTATATAATTAAAAAATAAAGTACTGTGACCTGGAAGTAAGAAAACAACTTTGAAAAACTGTTGGAGAGGGTGGAAATTGGAGCAATCATTTCGGGAGGCAATCTGGTCATGTCTAACAAATTTGCAGTGTGTTTACCATTGACCTGGCAATTTCACATCCAATAAGAATCTGCCACTAGACAAAGTTGTAAAAGTATACCATAATAGGTATATAAGAGTATTCATTGCAGTACTTTTGAGATGCTAAAAGAAAAACATTACAAAAATAATCTAAATGCACAAGAATAGAGAATGGCTAAATCAAATATATATTTATTTAATGAAGCACCCTAAGCTATTAAGAGGTATGTATGAAATAACTCTGAATATGCTGGTATGGAAAGGATGCTAGGATGGGTTAGTAGGTAAATAAGCCATACATATATTATTATAACATCTCTTTGGGATAAATAAAAAAACAGAAATACCTACATATATAGGTTCATGTAGATACACTGATGTTTATATTAATTACATCAACTTTTACATTAAAGAAACAGATGCATCTGACCCAATGTGCTTATCCAGATTTTAAAAGTCAATATGTAAGCATTGGTTTTTGGTGGGAAGAGGTTCTAGATGGTAGTGGATTGGAGGATGCTTTTTCTGCTCATTTGTTAGGTTTCTGTAATATTTGATTTCTGTAATCATGTATATGCCATACCTTTAGTTTTAAGCATATCAATATGAGTGTTCTTAAATCATTATTATTGTTCTTTATTTTTATATACCTTAAAACCCAATAATTAATATTTTATAAGACAATAAAGCACTGTTGTTGAGGTTCCCAAGGTCACAAGGCATACCAAACTTTAGTATATGAACATTGTATTGTCAGGAAATTAGCTCAAGTTTTCTATGTAATATTCTCATCACAAACAAAAGTCTACCCCTGCAACCACCACCGCCTCATTGAGAATGCATCCATTATGGCGGTTAGATAAGCTTGGTGTTGGACAGTTAGAGACATTATATCTACCTTCCCTTCTGAGCAAGAAAATGAAATCAATTATTACAATTGTTTTCCTCCTCTGTAGTAAGAGAACATATGGCAAACAAAGTCCTCTCTAAATATGCATTCATACTTAGTGGATCTAATTTTGATTCAGAATGGGGAGAAATATGGTTGCATATTTCTCATGTACCCTGCAGTTTAACACAGCATACTCTATTTTCAAAGCTATTCCAAAAAGAAACAATACAATAACTGTGTTCTGCTCTCTTGAATCTTTCCAGAGTTGCAACTTCCAGTGAGTCCCTCTGTGTGTCTGAATCAGCGAATACAATTAAAGCCGAGTACTTCAAGTCACCTTTTAAAAACAGTGAAGCCACATATGTGGAAACCAGGGGACTGGAGACATGAACATCTGTAAGCTAATCATTTTGAATTGTTATAACCAGCATGCATTTTAGGAGACAGCTAACCAGAGAAAAGTACAGAACAGATATGGGTGGTTCACATGTGTGAATTGTTAGGTTCTCTTAGGTAAATTTTCAGCTCTCCTTTTTAAATAAAGAATGCCATCATTGACTTTCTCCTAGATTAATTCAAACCTTTCTGCCAGAGAATAAACATTTGGGTAAATTGGACTCTTATCTAGTAAGTTACATTAAAGGAAATTGAATTTAAAAACTTGACAATGCAAAACTATAAAATTTTAACTTCCATTTCACACTCAAATGACTTTGCCTTAGAGTATGAATATGGCTGCATGCATTTTTTTTTTGCTATTTTTTTTATAGCTCCTAGTATCTAAGAAAGCATCTGCTGTGTATCAAGTTATTCGTTTCCTCCAGGGAAAAGATTTTATAATGTAGATAAATTATAGTGAAAAATTAAGAGGTTTTAATTATCCAAGACACAAATAAGTTTTCCTCATCTAATTTTATAATTATTAAGTAGTATTTAAACAGTTAATAGTATTTATTGGAGAATCATAAGCATCTTATGCCTACATAGAATTTTCAAGTTAAACTAGACCAGGTGCAGTAGCTCATGGCTAGAATCCCAATGATTTGGGAGGCCAAGGCAGGAGCATCACTTAAGCCTAGAAGTGCAAGACCAGCCTGAGCAACATAGCAAGACCCTCATCTCTACAAAAAGTGGAAAAATTATCCAGGCATGGTGGTGTATGTCTGTAATCTCAGCTACTTGGGAGGCTGAGGCAAGAGGACCAATTGAGCCCTCAAAGTGGAGGCTGCTGTGAGCTGTGATTGCACCACTTCACTCCAGCCTGAGTAAGACCTTATCTCAAAATATATATATATTTTAAAATGGCACAATCCTTTTATTGATCAAACTTAGATATTTAATATATAGAAACATGATGCAGAAGAGCAAATAATTATACATTTTGGTTTCGTTTATGATGAAAGTATATTTGTTTCATTACAAAATATTAAACTGGTGTTACTTTTCTTTTGT